TACTATGTAGACCAGGCTAGCCTCCCACTCACAAAGATCCGCCTGCCTCTGCCTCCCAAGTGCTGGGATTAAAGGCGTGAGTGACCACACCTGGCAACAAAATCTTTTTTTAGAAAGTTGTTTCAGAAAACATTTCCTGGGGCTGGAGAGATGGCTCAGTGGTTACAAACACTGAACATTCTTGCAGAAGACCTGGGTTTGAATCCCAGCACCCACATGGCAGCTAACAACTGTCCCTAAGTTCTAGGGGATCAGACGCCCTCTTCTGACCTCCACGGGCATTGCACGATATGGGTGAACTTCCATACATGCGAGCAATACACACATACACATAAAATAAAAATAATAAAATAAGATAAAAATTTTTAAAATTTCCCTGCCAGGTGTGGTGGCATGCACCTTTAATCCCAGCACTCAGAGGCAGAGGAAGATGAATCTCTGTGCATAGAGAGTTCCAGGCCAGGCAGTGCTACATGAGACCCTCCAAAAAAAAAAAAAAAAAAGCCACAAAGAATGTTTGAGACTAGATTAGTATTTAAAAATCAGTCAGGTACAGTGGCATGTGTCAGTACTCCCAGCTACTGGAGAAGCTAAGACAGAAATGTTGATTGAGCCCAAGAGCTCAAGACCATCCAGGACAACACAGCATGACTCTGTCTCACAGACAAACAAATTAAAAGTATAAAATAAAATAAGGGCCTCGGCTAGGCATGGTAGTCCCAGCATTCGGGAAGCAGGCCAATCTCTGTGAGATCCAGGCCAGCCTGGTCTACATAAGCAAGTAAGCTAAAAAGGGGCCTGGCATAGTGGAGTACTCCTATAATCCCAGAATTCTGGAAGCTGAGACAGGAGACCAACAGTTCAATGCTAGCCTCTGCTACATAGTGAGCTTGACATTAGCCTGGGCTATATAAGAAGCTTCTCAAAAAAAATAAATAAATAAACAAAATTCACATACTACATTGATCCTTTAAGGAAATAAGAGTTGAACTCAGTTGGTAGAGTGCTTGCCTATCATGCAAGAAGCCATGAGTTCAATCTTCAGTACCCCATAAGCACCCTCTAATCTGATCATGGTGACCCTTGCAGGTGCAGGGGGATCAGAAGTTTAAGGTCATCCTCGAGTAAACAGTAAGTTTAAAAGCCAGCCTTGAGTACATGAGAAAATGTTCTTTCTCCTACACACTGCCTACAACTTCATTTATTACAATTTTTCCTGGGGGCAGGGGATCTGAGTTATTTTATAAACTGGCATGGCAAGTTTACACTTTCTTTAAAATGTGAACACTCACTAACCTTCAGGCTAATACCAAGATAAAAGTACTAAATTTTTCATTATGGAAAAAAAAAAGACTCTAGCTGGGGCATTGTGGTTCAGACCTGTAATCAAGCACGTGGGAGGCAGAGGGCAGGAGAAAAGCCACAAGTTCAAGCCTGGGCTACATAGTCTTACTATCCTGTATCCTGTATCCAGGATGGGATTAAAAAAAAAAAAAGACCAGCTCAAAAAACCAAAACAGAAAGAGATGCTAAAAAGACTGAGCAGGCAGGAGGTAGAAGCAGGCTGATCTCTGTGAGTTCCAGGCCAGCCTGGTCGACATAGGGAGTTCCAGGCTAGCTGGGGCTATAGGGACCCTGTCTCAAAAAGATCCCCCACAAAAAAAAAAAAACCAACAACGAGGAGGAAATGAACCCAACTGTTGAAAGTCAGTAAGATTGATAAGAAAAGCTGCACTGGCAGTTTTCCACTTTTGCACACACCTGAAGTTCAAGATATACTGTGCAGACACACATTGTACATATGTATGCATATTGTGAACTGGAGGAAACACATCAAAACAACATGAGGTGACTTTTAAAAAAAAATATTTGCAGCCGGTGTGGTGGCACACCCCTTTAATCCCAGGACTTGAGAGGCAGAGGCAGGCGGATCTCTGTGAGTTCGAGGCTAGCCTGGTCTACATAGCAAGTTCCAGGACAGCTGGGAATACAGGGAGACCCATTCTCAGAAGACCCCCCCCAAAAAAAAGGTTTCCAAAGTGCTGCCTTTTTAATTACCCTAATTTATTAACTAAAAGACACTGTACCTAAGGGAAATTCCAAAGTATAAGCACCTGCCAGCTAGCTACCTTGCCTGAAATTCATCAGCTATAGAGTGAAAAGATCCTTTGTAACTTCAATGGGACATCCATAAAACAGCCAATCATCTACATTCCTATCTATAGTTCCCCAAACCACTACATAGGTATCTTATAAAATGCACATAATACAGTGTTTTCCTTATCTAAACACTCCAACCACAGCACAGTTTAAATTTTAAGTCATTCTGCTTTGCAAGATGATTCACTGTCGGATTCCCTTCAATAATTAGCCTTTTAAGGATCATTTTGCTGATGAAGCACTCAAATTTTCTGATAATTAAAAATGTAGTCTCCTGGTGGCTCACGCCTTTAATCCCAGCATTCGGGAGGCAGAGGCAGGCAGATCTCTGTGAGTTCAAGGCCAGCCTGGTCTACAGAGTAAGTTCCAGGACAGCTGGGGCTACAGGGAGACCATGTCTCAAAAAGACAAAAAAAAAAAAAAAAAAGTGTAGTCTCACTTTTTTTTTTTTAAGAGCCCATCTAGTATGTGAAAGGAGAGACACACATACATATACTTCCATGAGAATAAATACTTTCAGTATTTGTTATCCCAGAAGAATTTCACGCTTTGAATTCTTTGGTTTTAAAAAAAGTTTTTAAACATCTAGAGTACAAGTGCTTTCTTTTATATTAATGGCTCTCTTGATGATAAAATAAAGATCAATGTAACTCTAAGCTCTAGACTAATGAACTGCAGGGAACAGAAAGAAGCAATTTGGCAAGAGCTGCGCAGAGCTCTGCTTAAAGGCTACCAGTAAAATATACCAGCTCTCCCCCTCCCTACCCTCAACCCTTTAAGGTTTCAATTAAGATGGGGCCTAGTTTTACTCTCACAAGGAGACAGAAACAGAAAGCCGAGCTGCTCAGAAGTGTCATCAGGAGCAGCTCTAGAGCAGACAGGAACCATTTCCTTCCCTCAGCTGACACAGGTTCCTCTCTTGAAGAGACAAGCCAATCTCCCCTGTTCCTGATCAACACCAAATCTAAAGAAAAGTCTCATCACCTACCACCCAAAGATGGCATGAAATGAGTAAGAGTAATTTGCTAAACTACAATATTAATCAGGGCAGCTTTAATACTCTGAAATGGAACACCCCACCCCCCTGAAACTTTTCTTGCTGTCTCTCCTGAATTACTTAAAGGATAAAGTTGTTTAACAAGACATACTACACTTTCAAAACAAACTTAAGTGCTTCAATTGGTGAAAAAGACTCCTTCAAAACACTGAAGTTTCTGAGAGCCCTCCAGAATTCCTCAGGACCAACAAGAGAAATACAAATGAGTAAAGGTTTCATTATATGCAGAGATTATCACAGCCCCAACATCCTCCAAAAGACTTTCAATTTCTGCCAAGCATATGACCACTTTAGTAAACATAAAGGACTTTCAGTCCAATATGAACTGGTGAATTAAATCCAGGAACAACCGTAGAAAATAATCAATGAAAAGTTGATGCTTCTCTAAAAGGAAGCCAAGAATGAAAGAATTTCACTATGTAAGGAATCATAAGAATAAGACATCAAAGGTAGGAGATCAGACAACAGGTCACCTTTGGAGAAAAGTCACAACGAGCTGTTCCTATTTTAGGATTTTCATTGTCAAAGCAATCTAATAACAATGATTTTTTTCTCCAGAAAGTCAAGACAAATATTGTGCCACTTACTATTTAACAACCATAATGAGTCCACTGCTCTTTTGTCTTTTAGTCTTTTCTTTTTTCAGTCCATGTAATCCCAACCTTGTGTGTACAGATTAAAATATGGCTTGTGGCCAGATCACTTACAGATCCAGGAACATTAACCAACTAGGGCTTCATTATCAAGATATGCAAAAAAAAAAAAGGCATCTGAGTTCAGGCTACCTCCACAGAAAATATTCAGAACACAAATCAGAACCAGCAGCAGGCATGGCATAACTGTGGTATCAGCCAAAGCTGAAACTGTTCTCTCTCAGTAACAGTTGAGCTCAATCTTTAGGGTACCTGGACCCAACAGCCTCAAAGAATAGTCATTCGAGACACAGGTTATAGGGTTACTGACTATCCAGGAGTTCTGATTCCTCTAGCCAGTTACAAAATATGCCACCAGTCAAAGCAAACACTGAAAAGACACTTGAGTCTACCGAATAACCTATCCCCCGTCTCTCCATTCCACAAAGCATATTCCAAAAATGGAGACTCCTTTCTTTCCCGGTCGAGGCCCCTTTTCCTATGGATTCACTGGGTAGAATCGCTTCTCTCTAGCACGCATGGAGAGCCAGAACACACTTCTGCTTCCAATCAGGGGTCCCCCAACACGGTCGCACCTCTTCCTTCTCTGCATTAAGCAAATGATGCTTCTGTGCTCTAGCTTCTCCACCACTGCAAAATGTTCTGGGAAGTGGAGGCAGTGGAGGGAAGTTGTCAGATACTTAAATACAAGTCTCCAAATAAAAAGTTAAGACTGAGGAGGGGGTGCCCTCAATCCAGAAGAGGAACTGGGGGATTCCTACTCTAAAAAGCAGCCTCCAGGTCCTACCCAGAGATTATCCTCATGAGCGTCCGGATTTGATGAAGGGGTGCCCCGATTTTAAAGAGGAGCCGGCGGGGGACCCCGAGGTGCCGGGAAGGGTGCAGCGGTTACTAGGAAGGGACTTACTGGGGGGGAAGGCGCCCCCCCCAGGGGGCTCTGGGAATAAAGGAGGGTCTGGCAGCGAGGAGGGCCGGCATGGGGGGAGGGGCTCCCTGTCGGGAGGTGGCGGCCGGGCGGCAGCCTCGCGAGGACCATGTGCAGGGAACACTTCCACCCCGAGGGGCAGCGCGGGCCGCAGAGCCCGCGATCCCCAGTTGCGCATAAGGGGCGCGACCCGGGCCGGACTCACCGAGGCTGCCGGCGAAACCGTCCATCTTGCAGGGAAGGCGCCGGGCTCGGGGCTCAGCGAGACGGGCGCTTCATTCAGCACACCGACAGTGTGCAGCCGCGGAGCCTGACAAGCTCGTTCTCGGCGTCGCCCCGCACGGCTCCCGGCTCAGTCGTCCGCCGGTCAGTCCGTCCGCCACAGCTCCTTTAAGTAGCTGCGGCCGCCCAGGCCACTCCGCAGTCAGGTTGAGAGCCGCGCCGCTCCGCCGCCTGCCCGGCCTCTCTCTCCCAGGCAGCAGCCGAGAGCGCCGCGCCGCGCCCCGCCCCCGCGCCCGCGCGCAGCCACAGCCCCGCCCCCGCGCACGCCGTCACGCTTCCGACCCCCCTGGGGGCGGGGTCTCCGGCGTCCCGCCCCTCACCTTGCCCGGCCTCCACCACTGAGGTTCCTGGCGCTGAGCTGGTGGCTGCGCTTGCGTGCTGGGTCCCAGCTTGGGGATGCGGACCTAGCAGGCTCTGAATGGGCGAGGCTTATAAGCAGTCAGCGGCTTGGGAAGCTCAGGTGCACCTTGGGGTTCTCCCACCTCGGTGATCCTGCAGAGCCCAGGTCTGGCGTTCTCTTGAAGAAAGATGGTTATCCTACAAGGACGCCAAAGAAACAGTGAGGGAGGCCCCGTGCTGGGGTTCCCCTCTCAGTCGGGTAAGGGGGAATTAGGAGCAAGCGTTCTTGAGCAGCTTGAGACCAGATCAGAAAAGAGGAAAGCTTTGTTGGTGGTGGCTTTTTTTTTTTTTTTTTTTTTTTTTTTTTTGAGACAGGGTCTCCCTGTAGCCCCAGCTGTCCTGGAACTCACTATGTAGACCAGGCTGGCCTTGAACTCACAGAGATCTGCCTACCTCTGCCACTCAAGTGCTGGGATAAAAAGTGGTCACCACCACGCCCAGACTAGAAACAAGGAATTTCAATACCGGATGAAAACCAAGAGTTCATGTTACTCAGACTCTTCATATGAGGAAGGATACTGGGTCTTAAGAACATGGCCCACCCAAGGTCATGGAGCCTGGTGGAAATACATCCAAAACAGACTTCCTTACTGCCCGCATCAGGGGTACAAAGTCACCCAGTGTATGGCGGTCCATAGGATTGCCTACAATAAACTGTAGCAAGGATTATTTTTTTAAAGTAAGCCTGAGTGCTAGGTCCAAATCCATAAAGTCAACTTACTTAGGCCTTACTTTATTCATTTTCAAATTAGAGGGCCAGACTTGTAACTGAAACATGTTCCATCTTCCTGTTCAATCCCCTGAACCTATTACCCTTCCTTGGGAAGACTTTTATATAGTTTATGTCCCTTCTGAGACTTTTTATGAAGATTAGAGTGACAAAGGAAACTGTAAGGGGCTCAGAGACATTCATAAACAGCTGAGTTAGGAAAAAAAAAAGTATCAGTCTGAAGAGAGTTGCAAGAAAGAGACTGAAACAGGAAGACAAGAAACTGGAGGCCACAACTTTCATGATGAAAAGGACTTAGAGGAATTAAAAGGATTGTTAAGCATCCCTGAGGTATACTTCTCCCCTTTGATGCCTCTTTAAAAATCTTCCCTAAGGAGTTGGAGGTGTAACTCAGGATGATAGGGTGCTTGCTTAATAGATGTGAGACACCAGATTTGATCCCAAGCCCTGGAAAAGAAAACAAATCTTCCTTTAAAAATCTAAGTGACTTTGCATTTCTTTTTTGATGTGGTCCTCAAACTAGCTGTGTGGCTGAGGATAAGCCTGAGCCTTCTGCTTCCACCTCCCAAGTGCTGGAACCATAGGCATAAGGCACCACCCTGAGCATCACCTGACTTTTCTTCTGAATACCATACTGTGTGGAAGCTGGCCATAAGGCAGCCAAGATAAATTCGGGTTAGAAACTCAGTAGTCTAAGTTACTTCCTTCGAAATTAAGTGATTTCAGGCTAGAGATGAAGCTATGTGTTTGCCTAGCATGTGTGAGGCCCTGGGCTCACCAGTACAGTAAAAAAAAAAAAAAAAAAAAAAAAAAAAAGGAAAAAAAACCTTAAAGGTTGTATCTAAAGTTTCTTCATTGCAGTGAGCATTTTTTTAATTTATAATTTTTTATTTTATTATTTATTTTGTTTTATGTGTATGAGTGTATTGCCTGCAATACACTGAAGAAGTCAGAAGAAGGCATCAGGTCTCCTGGAACTGGAGCTACAGATAGTTGTTAACCACCATGTGGGTGCTGGGAATCGAACTCTGGTCCTCTGCAAGAATACTCAGTGCTCTTAACTGCTAAGCCATTTTTATATCTGCACATTTCTACAAAGCCTAACCATTTAATCTTGAGAAGGTCTCTATTCTGACAACTGTTCCTCTGTGTCTGCATGTAACACTCTCTGCCTTAAGTCTCTTAAAGAGTAAGAATTTAGCTGGGCATGGTGGTGCACACCTTTAATCCCAGCACTCAGGAGGCAGAGGCAGGCGGATCTCTGAGTTCGAGGCCAGCCTGGTGTACATAGTGAGTTCCAGGCCAGCTGGGGCTACAGGGAGACCTTGTCTCAAAAAGACCCCCCCCCAAAAAAAGAGAGAGAACCTGGGGCTGGAGAGATGGCTCAGCTCTGCTCTTGATTCCCAGCACCTACATGGCAGCTAATAACTATAACTCCAATTCTAGGAGATCCAGCGCCCTCTTCTGACCTCTGTGGGCACTGCACGATATGCATGCACTTAATACATGCAGGCAATGCACTCATACACATAAAACATAACTATGTTAAGTTGGGCATGGTGGTGCACGCCTTTAATCCCAGCACTAGGGAAGCAGAGGCAGGCAGTTCTCTGTGAGTTCAAGGCCAGCCTGGTCTACATAGTGAGTTCCAGGACAGCTGGGGCTACAGGGAGACCGTGTCTCAAAAAGACCAAAAACAAACAAAAAAAAAACTATGTAAAAGAGAAAGAACCTGCATTTGTATATTACTATACATAAATAAGTACAGTTTTTATTCAAAGAAAGACACAGGAAAAAATAATACAAAAATTACAAATATAAAATTATGAGACAGAAGTCACAAGAGTTTATACCTTGTAAGAAACCTATATAAGTACTACAACATTACAAAATTTTAAAATGTAGTCTAGGGTTATAGATGAGTAGACTACATGCCTACTTGCATGCTTGAGGCTCTGGGTTTCCGTCACACACACACGCACACACACACACATTTTTAATTAGCTGTCTATACACCTCCAGTACTTTTAATTTTAATTTTTAATTAGCTGTCTACACACCTCCAGTACTTTTCTCCTAAATTTTTGCTGTGCGTACTTTGTTCACATGACATTGCTTTTCTTCTTAAATTGATTGCATTTATTGGGATCTTTCTTTGTGATAGGTTTTGTACCTGGGTGCTTCATGTGCTTTACCTCATTTCAATATCACGGCAAACCTATGAGATCAGCATTGTAAATATGGCATTGGGGCTGGGGAGATGGCTCAATTGGTAAAGCACTTGCTTCGTAAGCATGAGGGTCTGAACTCAATCCCCAGAACTCATGTTAAAAAGCCAGGTGTGGTGGTATCCACTTCTAACTCCAGCACCAGAAAAGTAGAGATAGGCCAGCTCCTGGTGCTTGCTGTCCAGATAGTAAGGACTACACAGAGAGCTCCAGGCCTGTGAGAGGTCCTGTCTCAAAATAATTAAATAAATAAAGTAGATAGCTCCTGAGAAACTATACCTGAGGTTACCATCTAGCCTACAGCACATGCCTTTAATCCCACCACTCAGGAGACAAAGGCAGGCAAATCTCTATGAATTTGAGGCCAGCCTGGTCTACATAGTTCCAGGCCAGCCAGGGCTAATAGTGAGAACCTGTCTCAAAAAAAATTGATTTTTAAAATAACTTTTCAAAAATTATTTGTTTTTATGGGTATGTATATAAGCCTGTATAAATTTCTGTGTACCATGTGCATACAAGAGCCCATGGAGCCCACAAAAGGATTTTGGATCCTCTGGATCTGGAGTCAGAGGTGGTTATGAGCCACCATGTGGATGTGGGGAATTAAACCTGGGTCCTCTGCAAGAGCAGTAAGTGCTCTTAATCACTGAGGCATCTCTCCACCCCCTTAAATAAAGATTTACTTGAAAGAATTAGAAGATAATTCAGTTTTTCTTTTAGCATGGTAGACCAATCTTTAAATTATTGATAGTTGAGATAAAACATGACTTCACACATATAATAAGACGATAGTATTACTGGTAGCATTCTGATTAATGGTATTTCACATGATTCCTGTTTTAGAAAGAAAAGAATTGAAATGTATGGTGCATTTAAAATTATACATGCTGCATTACTGAGTGTGTTCCTGACAGGAGACAGTGTCTATTTTGGCTTGACATCAATGAAAACCAAATTCTCCACTCACAATGTACATATCTGACGACTGGAAGAATTTTCTTCTGGCTGACTGTTGCAATCCTTGTTTCTCCCACGCTCCTCACGTACTGCCAATGCCAGCCATATGTCTGTATCACATTATAACCTCTAGCCCTGAAACTCTGTGACAGAATGCCAGGTGAGTCTGCAGTGGGTCACAGGAGCACTTCTAGAATCTATTGCTAAACAAAAATAGCCAACAAGGATTCAATGCCAATGAACATGATTTGTGTAAATATATCACTAAGCCTGAAATTAAATGTATTCCCAGCTCAGTTTTCCTTAACCAGATACCCCAAATATCCAGAGCTACTCCAGTAACCACCTGCTACAATGAGATATGTGAGGGAGGGAAAGTTGTAATGGAAAGAGACACAGCACAGACTCCTGCTGCAGGATGTGATGGACACACCTGTAATCTCAGTACTTGGGAGGTTAAAGCAGGAAAATCAGGGCTTTAAGGTCATGCTTAGTTTCAGAACAAGTTCCTAACCAACATGAATGAAGTAAATCTTTAACCCTGTCTCCAAAGCAAACAAGTAAAAACAAAACAAACAAAAAACAACAGAGAGAGGGGAAATTGCAGATGAAGAGATCTAAAGCTTAAGCCATATTAATGTCATGGTAAATTCTGCCTATTTTAATTACTTTTGCCAAAGTAATCCAGATTCCTTCTAACTCACGAAACTAACCAAAGCTTATTAAAAAAATAAATAAAACTAAAACAAGAAAAATGAAGTAAATGTTCAGAAACAGGACAAATAAGAACAGAGGAGATGGCTCAGTGGGTAGAGAGCTTACTGTGCAAGCCTGAGAACCTGAGCTCAGATTCCCCATACCCACTTAAAAAGCCAGCTCGACTACTATCCTCAGGCCTC